CGCTTCCGGCCTCCCCCCGGAGTCGCCCGCAGCCTGGGAACTTACCAGCTGGTGGTCGTTGATCACGATCAGCTCCACATACTTGGTCTCACTGTGCACTGTAGGGTGGCCCCGGCGGACCTGGGGGGTGGGTGGGCACTTGGAATCAGTCCCCTCCACGCCTGGCGTCATGGCCAAGCCATGGACAGACTTAGGCGCCTGGACTCCATCCAGGGACAATACTAGCCCCCACTGGCAAGGGTATCATTTCTTCCCAGCCTTGGTAGGAGGGCAGGCAACCCTGTTAGCCCACCGTGGGGACACAGGGAATGAGGTGGGGGGCTCCCTCCCAGAGATGGCGCCCTGGCTCCAGCCACCTCAGTCTGAGCTCTTTGCCCCAGCCCCGGCTGGGGGTGTCCTCCTGCTCTGGACCACAGCCTGAGGTCTCTGCAGCCCGAGGTCTGTGCGGGCCCCGTACCTGCCTTTTCCTTCTCAGCCTCGGCCGGTCCGGAGGAGCAGAATGGACCGGGGCGGCGAACAGGCAGTCTGGGGGAAGGGAGAGGTGAGGGGGGGGGGCGCACAGCCGGTCCCCTCCCCAGCCCCTCTTTTCCTCCTTTACCTGGTTCCCTGCATCCAATGGGGGCTGGGAGGAGCGGGGTCCGGTAAATGAGGTGGGGATGTGGTCCCTGTAACGAGGGGAAATTAGCTCTTGGAAGGCTGGCTAGGTCTGCTCTGAGCCCAGCGGGGAGGGGGGACAGCTCCCGCCCTCCCCGCCCCCCCGCCCAGAGTGACCCAGAACTGGCCAGAGCTCCCATGTCGGATCTGATCTCCCAGATGCTCAGATTCCAGGGTCAGGACCTGGGGGCGCCCTGAGAGATAGGGGCTGAGGACACAAGAGCCCAATGGAAGGTTCCTTGGGGGACAGCGGGGACATTGGAGCTGGGGGACAGCGGGAGGGAATCAGAGCCGGGGTCACCGAGGGCAGTGAGGCTGAGGTTACCAAGGGGGGAGGAGGGGACAGTGACAGCCATGAGGATGAGCATGGCAGGGCTGTCCGAGGGAACAGTGAAAGCTCACCCGGGGGGCTTCCCGAGGCCCGGCCATCTCTCTGGGCTCCACGATGTAGGTGAAATTCCCGTCGGAGAAGACCCCACTGCAGAGAGAGGCGCCACAGCTCCCCACCACCCCAGGCCGGGGCTGGAGGCTTTTCCCGGCCGCCCAGCCCCTCCCCATACTCACTGCAGCCCTTGGCAGGTGGAGAGAGCAGCAAAGGAGTGGGGGTTCCCTCGGAGCCGCCCCTGGTAATAGCAGTGGTCTCCCGCCCCCTGGAGGAGCAGCAGAACGTTAGCGGACATGCCCCTGCCCTGGCATGAAGGCGGGAGGACAGGTGCGGGCCCCTAGAGGTGCCCCGGTGCAGGTGGCTGCAGGCCTGGAGACACTGGGTTTGACTCCTAATTGGCCGTTTCACCCGGGCAATTTCCTAGCCCTCTTTGGGCCTCCGTCACCTCACCTACAAAATGAGGAAGTCAGACTACATCTGTGGTTCTTAACCATTAGTTGGGGTTGATGCAGGGACCCCAGGCTCCTTTGAGAAGAATCGCATTCATATAGCACCTACTATGTGCCACACAATTTCACACAGAGTGTGTTCACAGATGCCACTGCCTCCGTGGACCACCCCTGGGCACCTGGTCTGTGTCTGAGGAACTGTGAGCAGCATGTGTCCTCCTGGCCCAGCTCGTGGGTCAGAGGGGACCAGCAGCCCCTCCCCTGCTTCCTGCAGAATTACTTGTGCTCCAGTTACTGAACAGGCTATTTATAGATACTCATTCATCTTGGCCGGGTCCCGGGGCCTCCAGGGCTGGCACCGTCGTATCCCAGGCAGCCAGGGATTCCCAGGGCCTTGGTGCTGAGCGAAAGGACAGCTCCCCAACAGCCCCCTCCCAGAATGCCTGGGCGCGGAGCAGTGAGGGTGCCTGAATGCCTCCATGCTGGGCAGAGAGCTGGCTGGGCTCAGGCCTCTGGAGCTGGGCAAGAGAGGAGCTCAGGGCTCCACACCCCCTTTGACATGCCACCCCGACTGCGACCCTCCAAACCTCAACCTGGGGAGAAACGGAGGGTCCGGAGGGGCCAGGCCCATTCCAAGCGTAAAGGACACCCCTGACCCCATCTCAATGGCCTCCTGTCCTTCCCAGAGTCACTCACCGTGCTACGCTGGGTTGTCCCCTCGCGGCTGAAATGGCGCTCCACGTATTTGGAGGAGAGGAGGTGACTGGAGCAGAAGGGGCAGGAGGAAGGAACCGGTCACTGGTGGGTCTGGGCCGGGCTGGGTCCCGCCTCAGCTCAGATCCAGACCCCCTGCCCGGCTCAGTCTCCCCACCCCAGCCATCCAGCCAGCTAGCCAGCCCAGCCCAGCCATGCCTGCTCCCCCGCCGGTCGCCCCTCCTCCCAGGCTCGAGGCCACACTCACTGGTTCAGCTCCAGGTCCAGAGTGAAGTTGGAGTTGAAGGCTGGGATGACGAAACTCACCTGGGCCAGGTGGACAGGCTGGGGTGGGGAGAGGGCAGAGGGAGGGTCAACCTGGGGAGGCCTGAAGGTGGAAACTGGGGAGTCAGGGGAACCCCAGGACAGGGAGTAGCCCTGGGGAAAGGAGGGCTGTGGGTCAGGGCACGGTGTGCAGCGGAGGGGCCGGTGCCAGCCCACCCTCTCTGGGGCCAGTCTCGGGAGCAGCCGGGATGGGGAGGGCAGCTTGGCCCGCTCCCTGCCCAGGCCAGGCCCTCCCTGGTGTCGGCAGGGCTGCCCCACCCTCCGGTGGACTGAAGGGAGGCCCTCAGAAGTATTACAGGTAAGGGGCAAACAGGAGGTGGGGTGCAGTGTGACCCTGGGAACCTGCTGAGGCGGTGCCTTCCTTCCTGCCTCCCTACCCCGGCCCAGCCTCAGTTTAAGGAGGACCTTGGACTCTGCAGATAGGGGTGGAGTGGGCTGGCGTTGGGGTGATGGGCTGATGCCATCCTGTCAGGACGAAAGAACTTGGCTCCTGTACCCCAAGTCCATTGCCCAAAGCGGCTCATCTTTAATATTTCAATCCCATGGTTAATTTTTAAACACGGAAGTTTTCCTGATAAATTTTTCAGAGGGGCCTTTTCAGTGGGGCTGGGAGGCTCCAGGTTGTCATGACAACGCACCAGGCCTGAACAAGCTACTGTGGGGGTTGGAGACGCCAGACCTGAAGCTAGTGTGCCCAGAGGGAAAGCCACCCCGAGAGCAGAAGGGACAGGAGAGTTTGGGTGGAGGGGGAGTTGGCCTCCTCAGCTGCCAGATCCCCACCCCAAGCCTCAGGTCCTACAAAGATCGGGAGGTACGGGAGAGGTGGGGGGGGATGGGAGGGCTGGAGCCTTCTTTCTACCCGGCCTGTTTAAGAACTGGAATCCAGGCCCCCCGATGAGGGTCCCACCACTGGGCCATAAAGAGGGGAGGATTTGTCTGTGCCCCTCTTTTGGGAGGAGCAGGTTGCAGGACAGAAGGAAGCCCTGCGTCATGAAATCCCGTCGTCCCACGCTAGCTGGCTCCCTCGTCAACCACCTAGATTTCCACCGAGCAGTTATCATGTGCCCGGCACTGTTCCAAATGCTTTACACGTCTTGTCGTATTTGATCGTCCCAACAACCCAGTGGGACAGATACCACTGGTTCCCTGTCTGACAGGAAGCTGAGCTGCAGCGATGCTGACTGACTTGCCCAAGGTCACACATCCAGGAAGTGGTGGAGCCCGGCCGGCGTGGCTCCGTGGTTGAGCGTCAACCTCTGAACCAGGAGGTCACGGGATGATTCCTGGTCAGAGCACATGCCCAGGTTGCAGGCTCGATCCCCAGTGTGGGGCGTGCAGGAAGCAGCCGATAGATGATTCTCTCTCATCATTGGTGTTTCCAACTCTCTCTCCCTCTCCCTTCCTCTCTGAAATCAATAAAACTATATTTAAAACAAACAACAACAAAACAAAGAAGTGGTGGAGCTGGGGTTCAAGCCTAGCAAATCAGCTTCTAGGCCAGTGATGGCAAACCTATGACACGCGTGTCAGAGGGGACACGCGAACTCATTTTTTTGGTTGATTTTTCTTTGTTAAATGGCATTTAAATATATAAAATAAATATCAAAAATATAAGTCTTTGTTTTACTATGGTTTCAAACATCAAAAAATTTCTATATGTGACACGGCACCAGAGTTAAGTTAGGGTTTTCAAAATGCTGACACGCCGAGCTCAAAAGGTTCGCCATCACTGTCCTAGGGCCATCTGACCCCAAAGGTGAGATAAGATGGAAATGGCCCGGGTCCATGAGAGACCCTGGGAGAGGGGGTGAGTTGGGGCAAAGGGCCAGATCTTGGATAGACAACCCTCTGAGCCTCCAGGACACTGACTCACCCCATCCCAGGCTGACTGAGGCTCCAAGCTCCATCCTGAACCCCTAGAGCAGCGGTTCTCAACCTGTGGGTCGAGACCTTTGGGGGTCAAACGACCCTTTCACAGGGGTCGCCTAAGACCATCGGAAGACATATATAAGTACATATTGTTTTTGTGATTAATCACTATGCTTTAATTATGTTCAATTTGTAACAATGAAAATACATCCTGCATATCAGATACTTACATGATGATTCATAACAGTAGCAAAATTACAGTGATGAAGTAGCAACGAAAATAATTTTATGGTTGGGGGTCACCACAACATGAGGAACTGTATTAAAGGGTCGCGGCATTAGGAAGGTTGAGAACCGCTGCCCTAGAGCATCGGTCACACTTAATAGAAAGTCAAGGACAAGTAGTCACTGCTTCCCTCTCCTCCCCACTGGCCTGGACCACCTCTGCTCTGCCCAGCCCCGGGGCAGGGCGGGGGGCGGTGAGAAGAGGGAGACCAAATACCCCGGCAGGTTTGTCGGTTCCCACCCAAACAGGGTGGGGAGACAGGAGCTTATCCCTCTCAGAAGGATGAGGAAGACCAGGCAACCCACCTCGGTCCCCAGGATCTCTGTACCCCAGGCACCCGGGAAGGGGGCTCCTGCTGGCACCAGAGTCCTCAGACTCCCAAGCAAGCTTTAGGCCCATGCTCAATCAAAGCCAAACTGCTCCTGGCCCGGCCCTACTCCTGCCCATGACCTGCCCCTGACCCCTCACATCATTCCCCGGGAGCCCCTCCTGTCCCCTGTCACCCTCCCTCCCCTGGGCCCAGCTCAGCACAGCTGGTGACCGGCTGGCCAGGCCTCGGCCCTATGCCCTGCTCTTGCCTCTTGCTCCCTTGCTCCCCGGCCATCCGACTCTCACGTGCTGCGGCTCATTTGATCTCAACCTGCCCAGGATGTCTCAGGATGTCTGGTGCTCATCTTACAAAAGCCAGGCAGAGACCCAGGGAAAGGCACTTGGAGGTGACTGGCCCAGGGCCACGCTGGGGAGGTGCAGGGTCAAGTCTCACTCTCAGGCTGGCGTTGGTGCCACGGCAGCTGTGGCCACCTGGCTGGAGTGGCATGCCCTCCCCAAGGCTTCCCTGTCGCCGGCTCATCCGGCCATCTGACACTTGCTTGCACCCGGTGTCGGACCTGACCCGACAGAGTGAAGAGGGAAGGAGGCAAAGATCCCGCTGAAATCCCAAAAGACAAATGCGGAGGCCAGGGCTCACCCCAGACCTACAGAGCGGTCTTGGGAAGGGGGAGACAAAGGATCTTTAGGGTTCCCCAACGCCCTAGAACATCTGAACACCCAGGCACTGTCCCCCAGAGAGTCACCCTGAATCCTCCTCCAGAACCGCCACCTCCTGCCTCGACCTCCTCCTCCTCACCCTCTACTGCACCCACCAGCCCACAGGCAGTGGTTCCCAACCTTGGCTGCACATTAGAATCACCTGGGAATCTTTTTAAAATCCTGATTTCTGGGCCCCACCCTCTGAAAATTCTGTTTCTTTGCTACTAATGTTGTGGCCTTACCCCATAACAAAGAAACAGAATTTCTGGAGGATGGGGCCCGGAAATCAAGATTTTAAAAAGATTCCCAGGTGAGTCTAATGTGCAGCCAAGGTTGAGAACCACTGCCACAGAGGCTTCGGCCCCGCTGCTCCTGGCCGTTAGGCAGTCCTTCACATCTCGATTCAGCGTTTCACCTGGGTGACCATCAGTCCCTGGAGCACAGGCTGCACCTGCCGTTTTCCCTGCCGGGCTCATCCGAAGGCCTGAGTGAGCTGCTTAGCCTCTCTGAGCCTCAGTTTCCCCATCAGTGAAATAGGGTTGTCGTGAGGATTAAATGAAAGCTCCCCTTTAAAAAAATATTTTTATTGATTTCAGAGAGGAAGGGAGAGGAAATGAGAGATAGAAACATCAATGATGAAAGAGAATCACTGATAAGCTGCCTCCTGCACACCCTCCACTGGGGATCGAGCCCACAACCCAGGTGTGTGCCCTTGATGAGAATCGAACATGGGACCCTTCAGTCTGCAGGCTGACACTCTATCCACTGAGCCAAACCGGTCAGGGTGTAACAATTATTTCTTTACTGGCCTTCCCTTAGAGCCTATTCTTCCAAAGCCTTTATTTCACTTTGATTTGCTAAAATTTGTTTGCCTCTACTTTTTTTTTTTTTTTTTTGGATATTGTTTTTA